GTCAGTGACAGGCTCTAAACCAGAATCATCCGTCGCTTCCCTGGCTGGCCGGGTGTTGATTCCGGATGCTGCTGTGGAGGAGCGGTGGTGGAGCGGGGATCACCCGGCACTTGCCATAAGCGCAGCGTCGGGGCACGGGCTGCAGCAGCACTGCCTGCCCGGGAAGCAGCAAGCGGCCGCTCGTGCTGCAGGGTCAGGGATTACAGGGAATTAGGGCAGGTTTGATTAGATTAGGCTGGATTAGAGGGCAGGGAAGCCACCCCATGGCTTGGGGAGGCAGGTTCAGCCACATGCTGGGATGAGTGTGCTCGGCACGGGGGCAGCGCGTGCAGGTCACGGGCATGGGGCACGTCCTGGAGCAAACCCTCAGCCTTATCCTCCAAAAGGTTTAATCTTAACGTCCCAACCGAGGGGGAATTTGGGTTAAAGTTCTACAAGCGCCTGTGGTCAGACGGAGCAGGCAGCAGGGTTGAAAGGCTGCCGTTATCCTTGAAAATAGGAGCCTGGTCAGCAGCCAAAGCAGGTCCCCCGGGGCTCAGTGGCACCCCAGGGCACCCGCTCGTCCGCAGGGCTCCCTGGGAAAGGGTGTCCCCAGGGCCAAGTCGCTGGCTGCCGGGTGGGGTCTCCTGCCAAACCGCGGGGAAGGAGGCAGCTCCTCTCCCGGGGTGCTGCTGAATCGCAGGGGATCTGCGGGACCGGCTGCTCCCTGCCTGCGGCTCCTGCCCTGCACCGCTGTTTCTGAGCTGGGCTTTTCATTTTGCATCTAACCCTCAGCCACCTCCTCCCTGTGTCCACGTTAACGCCCCCCGGCATTGCTCGGGGACGGCAGCGTTTCCCACAGAGGGTGCCCGGTGCCCAGGACCGGGGCAGCCCCCCATCCTCCTCCTCCTCCTCCCGGAGCTGTTGCTATAACCCCTCTCTCTGGCTGTCTCCCTCCAGGCTTGGCTGACAGAGATTCATGAATACGCACAGCAGGACGTGGTCCTCATGTTACTGGGAAACAAGGTGAGCCCGGCCCCACGGCTTCGCCAGAGCCTCCTCTTCCTCCCCCGACGGTCCCACGACAGAGCCGTGCTGCAGCTGTGGGCAAGGGAGCCTGGGAGGGTGTAAGGGGACATGGGGGTTGCCTCCTGCTGACCTTCCAAATGATCCCAAATTGCTCTTTGCCATTACTGTCGGCAGGTGGATTCAGCCCAGGACAGAGTGGTGAAAAGGGAAGATGGAGAAAAATTAGCCAAGGTACGCGAGGTGTCCGTCTGCTGCAGCGGAGTCGGTTGTTACGTGCTCTGACAGGGGATGTGCGAGTACAACAACGCGTGCTTGATGATGTACACCAGTGAAATGGTCATCTGGACACCAGTCTGACCCAGAATATGTCTGGGAGCACTTGTCTTGCTCTCCTCTTCCTCGTCTGCTCTTCTTCCTCTAAGTTTCCGCTAATGTTTTTTGCTGCTTTGTTCTCAAAAATGATTTCTGAAGTTGTGTAAGAAACGCCCGAGCTGTGAACCCTCGCTCAGCTTTTCCTGCCCACGCGGCAGAGCCCCTCTCCCAGGGCGGGGTATGAGCTCACGCAGCAGGCGCCGATGTCGGCCGGGGCTGCCAGGGCTCGGTGCGAGCCGGGAGCTCCCGAGCCCCCGGGGACACCCCAGGTGAGGTTTCTGACGCCGGTGTGTCTTGTCCCGCAGGAGTACGGCGTGCCCTTTATGGAGACCAGCGCAAAAAGTGGCCTCAATGTTGAATTAGCGTTCACAGCCATTGCAAAGTAAGTGACTGGTGCGGCAGCCGTGCTGGGCACCTCTCCCGCGGGGGGGGACAGCAGTCTTCAAGATAAAGGCTGGCACTGTCACCCACCTTTTCATTCCCCGGGCTCCCACCTCCAGCTCTTGTGCTGCCATCTCACATGAGCTATGAAGTGTCTCATCAGGGGGAGCTTTAACAAACCATCTAGACGAAGCCGAGTTTAACTGAGCTGGGCCAGGCAGCTTAGAAGCAGGCAGCGTAGGCAGACAAGTAACGTGTTTTTCCCCTTCCCGCAGGGAACTGAAGCACAGGTCCGTGAAGCTGCCCAACGAGCCCAAATTCAAGCTCCACGACTACGTGAAGAAGGAAGTGAGAGGCTCGGGCTGCTGCAGGTCCTAATGCGCTCGGTGCATTTGTACAGAGACTCATGCCCAGTGTTCGTGCGCCGCGCTCTCTCCTCGTGGACAGTGTGTGCATGTCTGTCTGTCGTGTCTGTGTCTGCCTGAAAGGTGAGCCGAGACATGGGGAATGGAAGCAGCAGCAAAAAAAAAAAAAGCTCTCTCGGCCGGGGCGGACGCTGGCCGTGCTGCAGCCACGTGCCAGGCGCTGCTCCCCGAGCCCCCGTTGCATCCATCCGCACTGCGAGCCCTCCGGCTTCCCTCGCCGGTCGCTCCCGCCTGGCTCGCAGCCGCTCGTCCCCGTGCAGGTGGGAGGCGGGCGTTCAGGAAGGGACTGGTGTGGGCTGGGGTCTCACCATCGCCGTCGCTCCTTCCAGGGCCGGGGCAGTGGGTAGTCCCGTCTGTCTCCACCCGTTCAGCAGCAGCCAGGAGCGTTACGAGGCTCCTTTAATGTTAGTAGGAATTACGGTGTGACTAAGGGGAAGGAACGCCTTCGCCACACCAAACATCTGGGTAGGAAAAAGTCCTGAATTCCCTTTTCTTTCCCCGCGTACCTGGAATTCAGCTGTTCAGATCCCTGGCCTGGGGCACGCAGGAGGGACTTGTTTTTGAGGCAACCATTTTTGCAGTTGCTTACTTATGTCTGTCCATCTTTCACGTGGTGTAACACACCTCCTTGACGAAGGTTTCTCCTCTTCCCTGCAGAAGACAAGAGCTTAGCCGTCTGTTTGAGTAAGCTCCTGCTAACCTGTCTGTTGTACAGAGATCTCCTGAATGTTTATCTGTTCGGTAAAGGCTTTGGTTCTCTTACTACTGCTGTTTCTAGTACTTTAATTGAGAAGAAATCTAATGTATTGCAGCTTATTCTACATACCTTCATGTAAGTGTGATAGCGGTTTTAGACTGCAACGATGCTTTGATACCTTCAAAGTTCTCTCGGGACAGCTCTTTCTGTTAACTGGAGGAAGCTGGGGGAATGCTGTAGGCATTGATTTCACAGGTTTCGGACTCCTGCCAGCTCTCTTCAACGGACTCCTCGCCCCTCGTGGTCTGTGTCAGGCATTTGGCTGCTTTTTTTTTTTTTCTTTTTCTTTTTAAAGCTGCACTTCTAAGTACAAATTTGAATTTGGATGAAGCGTTTGGCCTTTGGCAATTTTCTTCTTTGAAAATTCCACACGCAGGACACCAGGTGCCCACCACACTGAACCTCCCCGCACTGCTCTAAATGGGCCACTTACTTAAAATGAAATAGCCCGTCCTTCGCCCTCCAGCCAAGCACCAGCTCTCTCGGCAGCTGGTTCAGACACCCCTGCCCCTTGTTTTGCTCCAGCCCTGCGTTCCTGAGGTGCACAAAGACCCTCCGCAGCTACTGCGCGTGATTCAGGTGGGCAGGGACCCCTCAGAGCCACACTCCTCAGTGACCTACAGTAAAATGAGCAGCTACTGCTTGAAGTGGGTCCTGCACAGTAACAGCACGGAAAAGGATCCTAAAATAAACCTACTGCAAACAGAGCATTTCTTCCTAAATAGCTTTTTAGGGAGAAATAAGTCTTTCAGCTGTCTGGCTTAAATTTTATTTAAATTATTTATTGAAAGACCGTTCCTGCAGGAGTATCTGCAGCGCACAGCCTGGAGCAGACCCCCCTGCTGCCAGTGCCAGCACCCCAGGAGCAGGCAGGCGAGCTCCGCTGGCGGCAGCAAGCAGGGGCTGGGGGGGGGGGGGGGGGCGG